ACACGACGCTCTTCCGATCTCCCCAAAACCCCAAAACCCCTCGTGAGAGCAATTGGGAATTAAGGGAATATTATAAAATTTCAAATAAAATAGGGAGACTCCGTGTGAGAGTGTTTAAAAAAACATCAAAAAAAGTTAGGAGAAATGTAAACTAAAAAAGTAAAGTTATCTTGCTTAAAGATTTTAAATTATACGCTATTAAGCAATCATCAATGAGCTTATATTAAGTTATAGTAACCAAAGCAACCCTAGAAGAAGCCAGAAGAATAAAAGACTGCCCCTCAAAGAGACTATTCGCAGATAAAATTATTTGATATTGCTGCAAATCTCTCAGATGATAGGTACAAGGGTGTTTACTATGGAACAAAACTGCATGAGCCTGACTTTGATCTAGTGATCAAGAGAGCTAATGATTATGGAGTGAGGAAGTTTCTGTTCGCAGCAGGGTATATTGAAGATGCGAAAGACTCTTACAATCTCTCGCTTAAAAGTGAAGACTTTTATTGTACAATAGGGGTTCACCCATGTAGAGCAGCTGAACCTTTCAAAGATTCAAATGAAAAGTAATCTTCAAACGACGAGGAAACATCTACTTCAATTCATAACAATTCAAATTCAAATGATGAATCTCACGAAGAAGAGGAGCGCAAGGGCTCAGACCCCTTACGACTGGAGAAGCTTGATTTATACATGAAGAAAATCGACGAGATTTTGAGTTCAAGTGAGCGAAAAGATAAATATTTAGCAATTGGTGAATGTGGGCTTGACTATGATAGATTTGAATATGCTGATAAAGACACTCAAATGCTGTAAGAAAACATTCCACTTTTATACTAATTCTTTACGCTAACTCCTATTCGCATATCTTACTAATTACATTTAATATAGGGTGTTTCCTCCCCATTTTGATCTTGCTCAGAAGCACAATTTACCAATGTATTTGCATTCTCGTTCTACTTAGGGCGACTTTTCATAAATCGTTAAAGAAAATAGACACAAGTTTCCAACAGGTGTTGTTCATTCATATACAGGTGACTTGCAAGAGCTAAAAGAACTCATAGAGATGGATTTATACATTGGCATCAATGGTTGCTCTCTAAAGACAGAGGAGAATTTGGAGGTTGTAAGGCAGATTCCTTTGGACAAGATAATGCTAGAAACAGATTGCCCATATTGTGACATTAGAAATTCTCACGCCAGCGCCAAGTATCTCAAGACCACTTTCTAAAAAGTGACTAAAGACAAGTACAAATGCGGCGAAAAAATGAATAAAGATAGAAATGAGCCTTGCAGCATGATCCAGGTCGCTGAAGTTGTCTCTTAGCTGCTCGGCATCAGCGAGGAAGAGTTGATGCATCATGCCTGGTAGAATACATTGAAAATGTTTAATTTGAAAGAATGATCGAAGGAGTTGAGAGATGGAAAAATTCAAATTTCTAACGCTCTCTTTGCCAAGAAAATTCTTAATTCTGATCCTAATTAATTCGTGTGAAAGGTATTTATTATGATTGATTTGTAATAAAAGTTAAAGGAAATTTATTAGCCAATAGTTTTAGTAATTATAAGTATATTGATTATGACTTACGGGGTTTTGGGGTTTTGGGGTTTTGGGGAGATCGGAAGAGCA